CTCTCTCTCTCTCTCTCTCTCTCTCTCTCTCTCTCTCTCTCTCTCTCTCTCCTTCATTTATGTTATAAAAATGCCTAAAGGCTGTTTTTATTCTTTGCTCTCCTCTTTGTCTTGAATTGAGAGTCATGTGAATGACTAAAATTGTGTCCATGGGGGGCACAAAACATTAACGATTACAGTTACAACAGACTTGTGCGTATGTCATTTCTCATCTCTTTCTTTTGTTTGTCTACCAGTCGTAAGTCGAGTGGGTCGAGCCGTCCGATGTCGTCTGCCTCCACGGCCTCCACATCATCCTCCTACATCTACCCAGACATCAACGCCTTCCCCGAACTACGAGCCTACAACAATGATGATAATCTCTACGTAGATTTAGTAAGTGGACACTTTGGGGAAGGATTTACATTGTAGTTGTTACACCTTCTTTTCCCCAGTGCATTGGAGAATTTATGGTGTAGTTTTTAGACATTTATTCAGTGCATTCTGGGAATTAAATTTTTAGACATTATTTTCTAAAAGACTTTTCTAAAAGACTTTTCTAAAACACTTTGGGGGAGAAGTCACATTGTAGTATTAACACAATTTTTTTCATTGCATTAAAGAATTCGTGGAGTAGTTATTTAAATATTTATTCTGTGCATTTTGGGAATGACATTTTTAGAGATCATTTTCTAAAACACTTTGTGGAGTGGATGGGGGTTGGAGAGGATTCACATTGTAGTTTTTTTTCATTGCATTAAAATGCATGGAGTAGTTTTTAAAAATTTATTTATTGTGTAGGCCTATAATTTTTAGAGATTATTTTCTGAAACCTTATTTTGTACTACAGTACTATATTGTAAAGCAAGGTCAAAAACACCATCCATCTCCTAAAGTTTCAACCAAGAAAGTTTTTGTTTTTTACTAGTGTTTTTCATTTTCATTTATGCCAAATTTGAGTTAGAGTGGTCTTTGATAGTTTTAGGTAAATAGTTTTCAAGCTTCTCCTGTAAAATAAGCCCTCTGGGAGATCTCTCATTTGTGCTTGACACCATCGGTTTGATCCAACGAACTCAAACTTTCTTACGGCTTTGATATAGCACATAGAAGATTTGGTTTCTGACCGTATAGTCTTAGTAACTCGAAATGGTCCAAAATGTCAGATACAACTTTGTAATTCTAAGGTAGCACATTGTCGAGGAGAAAAGTGGCAGTATTATATCTCTTTCGTGTATGGTTCTTCCTCTTTGTTGCGGTCACCTCCAGGAAGATGAGCACATCTACGGGAAGGCCTCGGACATCTACGTCAGCCGCTTTGAGTCCGAGCCGTTGTACCAGTGGTACAGCAAGGACAAGATGATCCAGGTGATCCGATCGGATAAGTCGGACGACCTGTCGGATGAAGAGTACCTGGAGCACGGACATGCCGGTATGCTACTCTTGTTTGTTTGGTCTCGTTTTGTATTCTAATGGGCTGCGTAGTGTATCTCCGCCATACACCATTTTGCTAACTGACGTATGGTGGAGTCTTACACTGAACAGTTATTACTATCATTATTTAACATTTTTTTGTTAATGCCAATATTGATATCATTGCTGTACTTACTACTGGTTGAGTTTTGGGTGGAAATTACATCATATCATTACGCATAGGTTGTAACCTTTTCCTAAAAATCAGGGATTCACAGTCGCTTTGTGTCTAAGTGTGAGGTGCAAAAATTTGACCCAAAAAACCCTGTGGAACGAACTGTTTACATCTTTTGATTTTGCTATAGTTGTTGTTATTGTAATTTTTTTTTTTTAATTGTTTGTTTTTATTGTTTATTATTATCACATGAATTTTGATGATTTCATTATTTATCTTAATATTATTGTCATTATCATTGGCATTTTTACTTGTACTATTGTTCTAAATTGTTAATTTTTGGGGGGTCATTTTACCGGTATTGTCACTGTTTTTATCGTGAATGCTATTACTTTAGCCATTATTACAGCTATTTCTGCTGATCTTTCCATTTTTACCACCGGCATTATTCTCAACACGGAACTGTTTATGTGTGTCCAGACGAGCAGTCCATCTACGAGGACGTGGAGCGTCTCCTGGAGGAGAGCAGCAGCAACTCCAGCCTGGCCGCGACGTCTAACTCTTCCAGTGGTAGTGGCGGTGGCGGTGGCGGTAACGGTGGTGGTGGGGGTGGTGGCAGCAGCAGTGGGAAGTCTGCACAGAACAACCGTCTGAGTGTTGGTGGTGGGGGTCTGAGCGCTCGGGACAAGCCACAGAGACGGTCGGTCATCGAGGACGTGTTCAAGAACGGCGGGACGCTGCACAGGGCGCTGTGGTGCCAGATGCCAGAGGTAGGTTCCCTCCCCACCCCTCCCTGTCCTTTGAGGCTTGTCCCTAAAGTCTCCAGATTGTTGCCGGTTATTTGAAAGTTGTATAGAAAATCATGTAAACTACATAGAAAAATTATGTGTTAATGGTTATTTATAAGTTACTAAGAAAATGATATGTTATGGCTATTTGTAAGTTACATAGAAAAATGATGTGTCAGTTGGTGGTAATCGTTATACTTCAAGAAAAAAAAAACCCCTGGAAAAATGAAATTTGTTAGGAATTGGATAATGGTGGTGGTCATGGGGATACTATTATGTCTCCCTTTATGGAAAAAATGAAAATGGTCTTTCTCACTATATGACTGCACAGTGTAATACTCTATCGTGAACGACATATGGTGGAGTCTTACACTAAGTAGTCGATATACACATCATGGGTATTCCTATTATTTGCCCCACTGAGAAAGCAGAGACCCAGAATGTGTGTAGAATATCAAGCAAGTTCTGAATGAAGATCTCAACTACACAGTTTGGGTTTCCTTCTTTCTTACCTTCCATGTCTGGACACGTGTATCTGTGTCTTTTCTAGGTCGTTGACAGTGGCATCCTGAAAAACATTTCGGATAAAGAAAAGAAAATTCAAGAGGTAAGATATTTTTGCGGGACTTCTTTTTCTCCTCCTCCTCCTCCTCCTCCTCCTCCTCCTCCTCCTCCTCCACTTCTTCTACTTTATTGCTGTCTTAACTTGGACTTCTTCTTCATCTTTGATCTTATCTGAGCTCAGACTTTTTCCTCTTTTTCCTCATCTTAATTCTCATTAACTTGTCGAATGTTACTACCATAGTTCAGTAGTGTAAAAGAATTAAGCTTCTTCATGACCTTTCCTGGCAGGTATTGTTTCCAGGCAATGTTTTCAATCCTGTCACGTGAAGCATCGTATGTTAAGTCACAAACTTCTTGATGGCCTCATCCTGTTGAGAGTATTTCCAGGCATTGTTTGAAATATTGACACCCCTACCCGATCATTTTCTCCATTTTTTGGTCTTTCTGTCTGTAATTAGAAAAATAAGATTTTTTTCTTTCTTTCTTTTTTTTTTTTTCAAGAGAAAGTTGCGTTTTATTGCATCAAAATACAGGGTAGTGACTTTGCTATCAAATAGTTTTAGAAAAAAAAAGTAATCTGAGCACTCAATAGAGGTTTGTGTCAGTCTGAAGACTGTAAAGTTGAAAAGATGAAGAATTTTTAAACTCTTAAAATGCAGATTAAGGCCATAAGGCATGGGTTGTGCAAGCTGAATTTTAGGGTTTGCCGTAAGGAATAGTTCAGTCTAATGATTCTTATGACATCCTCCTTTTGCAGGAAGCATCTTAAGATGTAAGTTATTGTGTTGATGGAGCAGTAAGAACAACTACATAACTACATAAAAAAAAAATGAAGCATGTTAATCTCTCCCCATTCAAATTGTTCCCAGGCAATGTTTGAAATCATGACGTCGGAAGCGTCGTACTTGAAGTCCCTGAAGATCTTGATCAGCGTCTTCCTGATGGCGCCCGAGTTCTCGGTGGACATGTCTGACCGCAGCGTCATCACGTACAGAGACCGCCAGGTGCTTTTCTCCAATATCG